GGAAGGGTAATAACCTCCCTCTGCAAAGCTCGCCAAGATCATAAACTCATTACTGCAAACTAAAATCTAAAGTCAACCCAAACTAGGACAGACTGGGCTTGCTGGTCACAGCCCCAAAGCTGTGCAGTAAAACTAATCAGTTCTGGGATGGGATTTGTTTCTTCTGCTGCAGTACAATCTATAGTTTAGTTGGTCAAATCAAGCCTTTCTGAGAAAAGAAGATTAGAGGCAGTTGTTTAAAGTATTGAGGGGGGAGCAGGATTTAAGCTTTATTACTGACCAGGACATACAAAACAGACTGTAATGAAAAAACAGTATTGGGATTGTACTTCCAGCCCAAATGGAAATGTTGAGAGAGGACAGGGCCATATGGAGGAGCTTAGAGCTCAGGCAAGGGGAAATGCCCTGGAAATCGGGTGTTGTGGGGAAGCCAGGGGACTTAAAACCACAATTAGCACACCTGAATGCCTGGGCAGGAGGTGAGCTCTGGGAAATGGCTTTTTGTTCCGTTTGCAAGGAAGGCTCCTCCTGCCCCAAACACCTGATGGCAAACTCTGCTCCCTGGCGGAATTTGGGCGATCCCAGCGCTGCCAGGACTCCATCCCGTGTCTGAGCTGCTCCCAGGGGTACAGAAGGGGGGCTGCAGGGTGTCCCCTTTCCAGGCCTGTGTCAGTGAGGGGGAATGATGAATTACCCAGCACAGGCACCAGCTCCTGTCCCACAGCCCCGAGGCCGCTCGCCCCGACAGCGAGGGGAACCCACGGAGCTCCTGGGAACGCAGCACTGCCATGTTTGTATTTGACTTTATCTTTACCTGTTTCCCAGGTTTCTCTCTCCCTCAGCCAGTCCAAACCCAACCTGCCTCCCTCAGTTTGCTCTGTCTGGCCTCAGGACCTCTCCTTGGCCGTTCCCCACCAGCCTTTGGGGTGGGGACAGAAGCCACTCACACCCTCAGGTTTTGTTCACACAGCCCTGGCTGGCTGCTGCAAATCACCCTGCACTGTGGAATATTTGAGGACCACCCTGCACCTCTCCAGCTCATCTCTTCCCTGCCCAAGGAGGTGTTTGGGAGGTTCTGGCAGTGGAGGCCCAGGCTGCTGATTTTTGGAGGGTGCAGGTCCCCTCACAGTTTCCCTGTCCCCATCAGCCAGGGCATCCTGGCACAGCCACTCAGCGAGGCAGCAGGAGTTCCCTTGCTGAGGGACTGCAAAGTATTTTGCACCAGCATTTTTAGGGATTTTAAACTCAATTACCCATTTGAACCCAGCCAAACATTGCCCTGCCTCCCACTTGTACAGTGCTGTCAAATCCACTGAGGAGGGAGAGGCGTGAAAATCAAATTCTGGATGCTTTGGTAACAATCCTTTAGAAATATCTGCAGCAAAATAGTTTTCCCTTAGTGTAGGATAAGGAAACTTAGGCCAAATGTATCACAAAGAACTGATAAACCACTGAGCACTCAGAGTCTAGTGAGCAAAATATATTTAATGTCTCATCATCTGGTGAGAAAAATGCAGCTGCATTTCCTGTCATATCATAAAATAGAATAACTTTTAGAAATCTAGTAACAAATACTGTAAATGAACACTTTTCATGATGTTCAAATATGATAGGAGACTTTCCAAGAAGGGTTTTTGCCATTTCACACTGATGAAGCTCATATGGGTGTTAGTACCATTCCCTTCACAAACAAAACCTCAAAAGAGTTGTCAAAAAGCAGCAGATTTGCAGAGAAATTAATGAGGTTTCTGTCTTTATCATTCTCATGAGGGGAAAATGGCAATTCCACACAGGACAAGAACTCACAGCTTTAGCCCTTCTTGGGGAAATCCAACAGAGATTCTGAAACCTATACTGAAAATTCCAACTTATTAGAAACTGATATTTTGTGGGTTAGGTTGACTTGCATGTGTTTCATGTAAATCTGATATTTCTCACTTGGAGATGAGTGTTATGGGGATAGTCCTCTATTGTGGAAAATACAATTCACTAAATTTGGGAATTTTGCTTGAGTAAGGAGTAAGTCAGTGCAAAGGATGAACCCTTATATAAATATTCCATTTACAGAACTGCACAAATTACTGAAAATCCTTCTGGTTTCTATCTCCTCACCCCGAGCAATTCCTGAAAACCTGCCCATTTGCTCATTTCCAGGAGCTGGCAATTTCAGAGATAATTCCAAGATTCATCCCATATTTTTAGTAACTCCAGTGCTTTGTTAAGAACTTGCTGTTGGTCAGTTCTAACCCAGAATGAAGCTCGGATGATGACCATCTGTAAATTTTCACATAATATCACTGGATTTTACCCTTATAACCTATTCAGAATCTGTAATCTGTCCAGGAATGAGAGCTCTGCATCCAGCACCAACAAATGGGTTATTCTGTTGTTGCTGAGATGTCTTTGGAAGCTGTTTCTGCACCTGAGCATCTGCTCCAGTTCATTACCATTCTTCCTTGGAGATCATTTATTTCATACAAGTGGTACTAGTAGTACAGATAAGAAGGACTTGGTGTAAAAACTGAAAATTCCTTGGAATTCAGTAAGAAATATGGAGGTCATGAACTTTAAATACACTTTGATGTAGCACAGTCTGGTGGGTAAGTGCAGATAAAGATGGTATTTCCTTGGACAGCTCCATTAGCTTGTGTGTCAAGGGAAAAGCTTCTGAAAAGGAGTGGGGAAGAAATACCCAATAAGACACCAGCATTTTATTTTATTTTATTACTGAAACTTCAAACTCCATCTTATCTCAAAATCCATTACTTTATCCTAATGAGTCAGTTTTCCTTGGTCACATTGCCATCCCTCATCTTTTGTTTAGAGAGCTGGAAAAGGAGTCGTTAGTCTGAGGAATAACTAGAATTCATATCACTCACACGTCCTTTCTCAACTAATTAAACACCAGCAAGACAATCCATCCATCCCTATTACAAGCCAGAAAAAAAATTAATAAAAAACAAATCTGAAAGCTCCCTGACAGCGGAAAATGCAATTAAACTCTCAGTGTATGAATCCAGGCACAAACTGCTGCACTTTCTCCCCTTAATTAACTAAAACACAGGGAAAACAATCTGATGGCTTAATGGCATTTCCTTCGCTGTCAGAAATGCTTGGGGATGATTTTGTGATGTTATCACAGAGATCTGGAGGAGTTACTGCCATTACTCCTCTCTGCCACCTCCGAGAGCGACAGATTCCACGGAGGAACTTTGCTGCCGTGAAGGGATGTGAAGGATTAATATTTTATAACATCATTACTCCACAGGCAGCACGGCACCAAGGACACACTCAATATTTCATGCATTCCCAGCCCCTGACACACCGACTGCCCTGCACATTTCTCTGCATGGGCGCGACTGGAAGCCGAGCACTCTGCCGGCTTTGTGCCTCGTTCAGTGCTGGGGGCAGTGCCAGGGGCAGTCAGCGCCGGGCTCCCGTCCCTGCGTGCCCTGGCAGAGCAAATCTGACCCAGAAACTCACCGGCCCTGCGGCACAGCCCTCATCCCGGGACAATTTAGGGGAAGCAAAGCGGGCACTCCCCGGAGCCTGGCTGGGCGCGCCGGAGCAGCACAAGTTCTGCAGGGCACAGGGGGGCAGAGGGAGCGCCTCAAAGCTCTGCCCGGCTCCCTGCGAGCCTGCAGGCAGCACAAAGCCGAGTTTCGTCCTGCACACGGCCATTCAGGCTCAGCTCAAGCCCTTTAAACACTGGCACGCTGCTCCTTCCTTCAGAGCTATTCCACTAAACCAGAGTAAGTTCAGGCAGCATTTTGTGCGTTTCCAGAGCATCCCGCTGGCGTCTGCGGCTCGGAGATTCGAACACGATTTTCTTCCCCAGGTTTCACGGGGGGAAATGCCCCCGAATCCCCGCTGCGTTTTTGGGATCGCCCAGCTTTTCGTGGTGCGTGCTGCCGGCAGGGTGAGCGGGGAGCAGCGAGCCGCCCCCGAGCCCCCGGGGAAAGGCGAGCGCTCCCCGAGCGGGCACAGCCGGGAGCCGAGGGCACATCCTCGGCTGACAGCGCTGCGTGCCCCGGCTCTGCCCCGCTCCAGCCGCTGCCCAGCACTCGGAAGGGCTGCAGTGCTCCGGCCGCGCGTCCCTTGCTCTCCGGGCAGGAGGAGCCTTCCCTGGGGCGAGCGGAGCGGGGTTAGGGCTCGGCACGGGAACGCGCCTTTGGCAATTGCGGGATGCTCTCCCCGGCGCCGTAAACAGCTTTTTTTTTTTTTTTTAATTTTTTTTAAATTGTTTGTTTCCTTTTCCCCCCGCCTCATGTTCAGTGCTTGCCAGGCGAAAGAGGGATAGACAGAAACAGCGGCGTGCCAGATTCTGCCTACATCTTTCCCACAGTCTCTCCTAACCCCGAACTCTTCCGACACTTTGTATTCACCGTCTCACTTGACTGCCACAAGAAACCCACTGTAGGAAGAGAGGCTTCCTGTGAGCCGAGCCCCGTTTCCATGGTGCGGAGTTTTCTACTTAAAAATAAATTCCCGTTCCGCGGAGTTTTCCGCGCAGCCCCGCGGAGCTGCCCCTGCCCGAGGGTAGCGGCAAACGCGTCCCGCATCCCCCCAGTCCCCATCCGGAGCCACAGCCGCCCAAGCCGGGACACTCCGCACCCCTCGGCACAGATTTTAGGGTCACCGCACCCTTCCTGCGGCGGGGACAGAGGTGCCCGCCCGGCTTTGGGGGTCCGTCGCAGCGTGCCCCGCGGAGCGCCCGGAGCCGACACCCCGCGGACTGCGGGGATGCTCCGCCGGGAGCCCCGCGCCCAACTTCCCCGGCACCGCTCACCGGGCGAACTTTGGGCAGCGTCCCCGAGCATCCCGAGCATCCCTGAACATCCCTGAACATCCCCGAGCATCCCTGAACATCCCCGGCTCCGGAGCGGCGGCTGCGCCGAGCGGGAGCCGCGCGGGTCCCGCTGCCGCCCGGGCGAGCTCCCCGCGGCCCGGGAGGTGCCCGGAGCCCCCGCCCGGCCCCGGCGCGCCCCGGCGGCACTCACCGATCCGCAGCACCTGCGGTGCGCTCCGGGGCAGCCCCGCCGCGGCGCAGAGCAGCAGCAGCAGGAGTCCCCCACCGCCGCCCGGGGCCGCTCGGCGGGGCCAGCGCGGGCCGAGGCCGCTCGCCATGCTCAGTTCATGCCGGCTACCCCCGGGCGGGCCGGGAGGCGCGGCGAGGCGCGGCGGGCGCCATGGCGCGGGGCTCCGCGCTGCCGCCGCCGCCGCCGCGCCCCCCGCGCCCGAGGGACGGAGGGAGGGATGGAGCGGGAGGGATGGAGCGGGAGGGATGGAGCGGGAGGATCCTCCCGGGGGCGGCCCCGGGCGGGGCCAGGCGGCTCCGGGCTCCGCGCGCGCTCGGGGACACGCGCGCGCACACGCACAGGGACAGGGACAAGCCCTGGATCAGCTGCCCAAGGAGGGCGCGTCGGAGCCTCCATCTCTGGGGACATCCCAAACCCTCCCGGACGCGTGCCTGTGTCACCGCTCCAGGTGGCGGGGGTGGATGCTCTCCAGCCCCAGCCGTGCTGGGATTCTGGGGTTCCGCGCTTCTGGGACAGGGACAGGGACAGAGGCAGAGCTGTCCTGTCGCTGTCCCTGCCGCCGGCCCTCCAGCCCCCGCGGGTCTCTCCCCGCAGCCCCTCCTCGGCACGGGAGAAGCTTGTCCCCCCCGTGCCCTCCAGCCCCGCAGCTCCTGGTTTTTTGCTCTCCCGGTGGCTTTGGAGGGATGTCCCGTGCGGGGCAGCTCGTCCGGAGCGCCTGGCGTGGGACAGGGTGACACCCAAGGTCTGCGGGCTGAGGGACAGCCCTGGGAGCAGCGGGAGGGAAGGAAGCACCTCCAGCAGCGTGCCAGGCAAGGACAGGCGACGTGTCCCCTCAGTGCCTGTCCCCAGGCGTGGCAGGAGCCTCACGGGGGGACAGCAGGGCTGGGCCAGGTGTCCACAGAGTGATGAATGCTCGAGGCCGGTTTGGAACTCTGTCACAGGGATCAGAACATCCCCTGGCCTTGGCTCGGCCACCAGATCGCTTTCCCCTGGTGACTCGGAGTTGTCAAGTAAATGTTTAAATTTGGTTTTTGCGGGTTCAGTGGAACTCTGAGTGCTCCACCATAAAGCAAACATATGGGTCCCGAGCTGCTCTGAAAAAAGAAAACCCCACCAGAGGAGAATGACTCCCACCTAGCAACAGAACTAAAATGGCATAGCTGAGATCCAAAACTGAAATCATTTAGATTTGTTTACTTAGTATTCCTCTCCAGCCTGCCTAGCTATTGTTGCAGAAATTAGCTCCTCCGAGCAGCGGCAGCGCACGCCGGAGTGCGATGGCAGGAAAAGCCCGCACATGATGTCTCCCCAGAGGGGCCCTGGAGGAGCTGCCTCCTGCTTTCAGAGCAGTCGAGGCTGTGCAGGGTTCCGGGGCTGGGATTCCCGGGCAGGATTGCAGCTGGAGCCGCACCCGGCATTTCCCTGGCGTTTCGGGGTCGCAGCAGCGCTGGCGCGGTGCCCCTTAACCCGCCGCAGGTGCGGTGTAACCTGAGCTCAGGCCTGCCCAGCAGCACCTGGGCTCGGCTCTGAGCTCTGCAAAGCCCGCTCCGCTCTCGGGCGCGCCCGCTTTTCTCACGCTGGAACACCTCCTGTGCACAACATTCCTGTCCTGCGCTTCAAGGGAGTGCCGGCCCAAAAAGCGGCCGGGATGAGCCGTGGCTGTGCCCGAATTCCGGCCCTTGGCACCCTTTGTTCTCTCCCGGCCACCAGGCTGTGACCAGCAGCCGCCCGCCCCTCAGGAGGTGCAGAGACATCCAAAAGTGAGTGTTTCACCCGCCTCTGAGGTGGGTTTTTCCACTTGCACTTTTTTTTGCAAGTTTTTTTATCTTGTGCTAACTGTGTGTGCACACCCTTGGCCCTATGCCCTAGAAATCTGGGAGTTCAGTAAAGTTGTACTTCTAATTTAGCCTGAATGCTGTTAAATATTGTTCCTCTGTTAGGTTGTTGTGGTTAAGCTGTAAATGAAGGTATAAATTAAGTGCTGCTGAGTTTAAGTGTTGTTATGCTTTCCATCCTTGTTTGTACTCCACACACACACACCCCTAGGTAGTTTCAATTAATTCTTGCTTTGATTGCCTGGATTTTGGTTGGTTTTGTTGTTGCTTGCTTTCCTTGTTGTGCCTTAGCTGGCCTTTGTGAGTGGAGTGAATCTTGCCAGAGACCCTGTTGTGCTTTAGTGTAATGTTAATTCTGACTTTTCCTCATAACCTTGATTTTTTTGAGCTATCTCAAGCACACTCGTTTGGGACAGAGCCCCACTCTGCATTTCTCAGGCATGTTTGGGGGGGGGGGTCAGAGCCCCATTTTGCATTTCTCAGGCTTGTGTGGGGGGTCAGAGCCCCATTTTGCATTTCTCAGGCATGTTTTGGGGGTCAGAGCCCCATTTTGCATTTCTCAGGCATGTTTTGGGGGTCAGAAATGCAGCCCCACTCTGCATTTCTCATGTTGTGGAGGGTCAGAGCCCCATTTTGCATTTCTCAGGCATGTTTTGAGTTCTCCAGGGACAATTTCCCCTGAAATGAGCAATGTTGATTTCTTGTTTGTTTACCTGAGGGTGAACATGTAGCACTTTGATATTACCAATGTTGACAGAGTCCTTTGCATAGGAATTGGAAGTCTTTATTCTTATTCCATGTGGAATTCCATTGGGTGCAATGTGTGAATATTAGACAAATTACAGCTTAAATGATGTTGATAGGCTGATAGCTAAAGCCTTGTTTGATACCAGGGCCTTCTGACTGAATTTGGGGATGTAAAACACCTCTTTCCAGAATTCTGTTTTGGGTTTGGAAACAGTCACAATGTCAGAAAAACAAGTGTAATCTAACATGTTGGGAAATGTGGAAGTTTTCATTAAAAAAAAAACAAAAACAACAAAACAAAACAACCCCAAACAAACAAACAAAAACCACCAACCCTGGAAGTTATCTCAATGTCTTGGTCAAGTTCTGAGAAATCTTAACTCTGTTGCCCTCAGGACTGTAACCAGGCCTTACCCAGTTTAAGGTACTTCAGAATATTTTTATAAGTTTTTCTTCTCTCTCTTTAACCAGACCTGACCAAAACACCCCTGAGTTCTGTGGAAGTGAGGAGGTAAAATTAGTTTTTAAACTCAAAAATGTTAAGCCCCAAGTACTTGTGCTGGAGCACCATAACACATTAGAAAGCAAATACAAATGAAGAGATCACTGTGATCACAGCAAGTTTAAACATCACATTTTAGCAAGCTCTTTTTGGCTGAAGTGCTGTCTTTATTCCTGTGCCCAGAGCCATGAAAGCAGTCCCTTTTCAGTAAAAATGCCAGAGAGAAGCTCAGAGCAGACCTGCCCTGACCTCCCCAGTACCAGGGCAGCAGTAGCCTGCAGAACTGCCTCTCCCTGAGCTGGGGGGACCTTCCTGCCCCACCATGTTCAGCTAAAAGGCACAAATAACCCACAAACAAACACAACCACTGCAGATGTTCTCAGCCTGAGCCCTGCTGAGTTTCTTCCCAACGTGGGATACACCAGAGAGTTCTGGGAAAGAACCCCCTGTACGTACACAGAGAGGCCTGGCACATCCTGCATCCAGGCAGGATGTTAAATTCTGTTTAATTCTGCTTGGTCACACTCACAGGAACATGGAAAGTTCTGTAAATGGGTGGGAGCCTCCAGCCTCTGACCAGGGGCAGAGTTTCTGCTCCCTGGAGCTCTTCCCATAGTTCCTTTTTACAGGGGAAATAACCCCCAAACCAACAACCTTTTAGCAGATAATGAGGGAGGGAGAAGAATCCAGTTAATGTTTTTATTCCCCAGTGCATATTTCTTTTTTCTGCTATTAGTTACTATTAATTATGAGCAAGCTGCTGAGGTAAATTAAAGACTGTCCCAAATCTCTGCCAGCATCATTTCAATGTGTCCTAACTCATTTTCCTCCTTCCACACTTATTTCAAAAGAGTGACTTAAATCTTAACAAGAGAGTATTTCACTTTGTTAACTCTGTTCACCCTGCTCCTGGCACTGTAGACCCTTTTCCACTCATCCACAGGTGTGGGATAGGATTTTGAAAAAAACAAAAAATGCTCCACTGCTTAGAAACTACTAAAAGTTTGCTCACAAGCGGGAATGTTTCAATTTAAACATGTGGAATATATGCTTTGATAGCCCATATCATCATTTACATAGCACCTGGCAAAATGAAACCCACAGGCAGCTGCAGTTTTTGGGTTTAAATCTCTGCATTCGAAGGATGACTCCGTGAATGTTTTGTATCTCCCTTGGCATTTGCATGATCTATTTTATATACCCACACACAATAAAATACGTGATAAAAACAATGTATGGGGTTTTGAGGATGTGTATAAACAGGTTTAGATTTATGTGTGTCAGCACACAGCTGAAAGGATGCGTAGAATATTTTCAGATCTGTGTATTGCAGATATATAAAACATCATCTGTGTGTATATTACATATAAATGTGTGGCTTTACTCCTGTGAGCTGGATCCGAGGAGGAAAGGTGCGGGAAGAAGGGGAATGGAGCTGCAGGGAGGAAGGGATCCTTTGGCAGGATTGTGTCTGGAACATCCCGTTCCTGTGTCCCCACCCGTGGGCAGGGAGCCCCTGGGCTGGGGGCAGAGGCTGGCACCTGGCAGGGAGGAAGGAGAAGGGTTTTATTCCTTGGAGAAGGAAGAGGGAGTTTGATTTGTGATCCCCTTTGTGGTGCAGCCTGAGGGGCCCCTGGGTTTCATTATTGCTCAGTGACCCTTGCCAGGGCTCAGCAAGGCCACAGCTCGGCCTGGAGCCTTGGGGGGTGTCCCAGCCCCAGCAGGCACAGACAGGGAATCCTGCTCCTTCCTGGTGGCCCTGCCGCCACTGGGACGGGACACAGGTGGCTGTGATTGGTCATCAATGGAAAGCAATCCACATGGACCAATCATGGATGCACCTGTTGCATTCCACAGCAGCAGATAGTAATTGTTTACATTTCTCTCCTGAGGCTCCTCAGCTTCTCAGGAGAGGAAAAATCCCAGCAAAGGATTTTTCATAATATCATGGCTACAGGACATTCCCTGTGCCGCCATTGGGACGGGGCATTCCCTGTGCTGCCATTGGGATGGGACAT